AATTTCCCGGAAGTCGATCCAAAACCGTCATGTAGGCATCTTCGGCAAGCCGTGCTTGCCTACATGACGGGGTACACTTTCTTCACTTTGCTCGGAGAAACACCAGCCAACCACGAGACGGGGAAACTGCAAAGATGGGTGATGTCTTTGATGAGTCCGGTAGAGGAAAGGCCATCGATGCAGCAGATCTTGGAGCAATGCACCGAGCCCATCGAAGATGAACCAGAGCCGACATACTGCCGGCTCTTCTTGTGAAGCCACCTCTTCTTGTGCAGCCACAGGCAGGCCAAGATATATTCACAAAGCTATTTGGGAGCTCCGAGTTGTGTTGATCAAGCGTGCGCAGAGGCAAAGGCTCTGGCTTTGAGCAACTTGTGAAGTGTAGGGCCATGTAGGGCCCGTCATGAAAGCGCTCGGCCAGCGTGCGGCAGGGAGCCCTCGAGGTCCTTCGGGCGATCTTACAGGATTGGTTGAGCGGTGGCATGACTTCAGCTACAGTGACCCTCGACTGGTGAACGTTGCTCCACAGGAGCTTCTTGATCCAAACAATGGTTCCAAGACTATGCCACCAGGCCAATGACGGGAAAGTGTGCGGCATGCATTCAAAGCCACGTCCGGTCCACTGACCTGGGACGATCCAATGCCCAGCGAAGCGCACGCGGGTAATGAATGTCCTGCCCCTTTGTGCCATGGAAAAGCTGTGTGTCACCTTTACCTAGGTTGATGATTGAAGCAGCCGTTTGTCCGTTTCTCATTGTCTACAGATTCGACGGCATGCAGATCAGTGGCTCGCTCGCGACACTCCACTGTGGGAGCTTCAGAGACAGGGAGGACTAGCGGAGCTACGACGATCCGTGGACTACGGTTTCGCATCTCGACCTTGCCACGCACGGTGAGACTGCTGTTCTGACCTTGGCAGCAAAGACGATGCCTCGTTAGCCAGCGTGTGAGAATGGGAGTTTGCAGTGCAATCTTTTGCTGTCAGACACGAACTTGTTCCTCTTCTGCTCCTTGCCTAGCGAACGGGTTTACCCCGCCGCCAGCCAGAGAGCGCTCGCCGTGGGAATCGGCAGTGAAAGCATGAAAACATTGTTCCGCACCATAGCAATTGGTTGTCATCAGAAGTGCTTGTAGAACCGGCCCGCACTTGACTGTTTTCGGCTCGTGTTCCTACTGGAAGCCTGGCGCTGATCCTCGCTCGAGAATTATTGCAATTCTTGCAAGGCCAATGAATCCAGATCCACTGCTTGCAGAAGCTGCTTTTGCAGAGCCCCCAGCTACCCACAGTGTTCGAGGTAGGCAGAGCGGTGGTGAAGGGGCGAAGGTGAGTACCGGCGACTCTGTCCATGTTCAGGTGCCAACGACACAATACACGCTCCGAGCCCTTACCTAAGGGGACTTCTCAGTTCCTGGTGGGAGTTGCAGAGACTTGTAGCTTCTGCGCACGAGTGCTCAGGGCGCCTCCGCACCGGTACCAAGTGCAGAGACGTGATGTGCCAGAGTAGCACTCTGTGGACTGGCAGCTTCACGAACAGTTTTCCTTGTGTGCATCGTAATTCCAGTAACAGCAGCAAGCCTCGACATTGCACAAAGACGGTGGGATTCGATGGGGATTTGGACAAACATGTGTCAGACAGTCCGATGTGGGGTGCGATGTTCGGTTCTGTTTCTCATGGCCTGCTAGCATCAAGTCACGTCTGTGACCGGAGTGGAGGCGTCTGCATGCGTACAGTGGCGTTTACATATTCGACATCCACGTATCAACACTGTTGGTATCTGTTGCTTCTTGATGTGAAGCTGAATGTGGTCTCTCGTAGGGTTTGACAGCCTGGGCATGGAACGGAGGTAACATGTACCAAGGCATATTAGAGGATTCTGGAGGTGTTGTTCTCACACGCTTGCCGGCACAGTCAAACCTCGCCTAGACAGAAAGATCGCTTGCCGGCAAAAAAGATGTTGTGCGTCAGGATTGCACGATTCAAGTCTGAGTAACGTGTGGGCACAAGACATGCTGTGGCGAAAGCTGTGAACATGATGAGGTAGTAAGATTAGAGAGACCGCTAGTTTGTTTGTGGAGCACGTTTCCTCCTTCGTGTGACCAATCGCAGGGTATGATCGAAGAAGCGTGGAATCAGGCAAATGATTGCACTGGTAGGGCATGAGCGACGTAGACAAGGGTCATACTGAATTATAGGTGACGCGAGTTCCTACGTTCAAGACTATGGCGAACGTGGGCCAGGGTTGTGCCTACCGTTGCGCAGGCGATTGCTTCAGGAGGGTAACCTGTGACACTGGCTCAAGCTTCCTGGCGCATCAGCCCGGGGTGGCAAACTGACGAAGCCATGGCAGAGACCGAGAAAAAGAAAAAGAAGAAGGCGGAACTTCGTAGTCAGAAAGGGCATTGGGGATGGGCCGTCGCCACATCCACAAACAGTCCGAAAAGGGACGCCTGGCAGGCGGGGGAAGAGCTGTACATAAAGCCGGAAGAGACTCAGAAGCCGATTGACACGTCTAAGCCAGCGACCCAGCGACCTCAGACTTGAGCGAAAAAACGACAACGAGCCGAACCTCAGTGGTCGCCTTTGTGGAGCCGCATTTGCACCATGTTCTTGGCTTTCGAGGTGGCCGCTGCTGCTCAAGAACTACTCGAAGCTGCTGGTCAGGCCTAGTTCAGCTCGACTTACACTCTTCACATGTAGCCACCACCAGCTGTGATTTGAAGTGGTGGCAGCTTCGAGAGCAAAGCTGAAACTTGTTTGGTTCAGAAAGCCTGGCCCGCTTCGTCCTATCAAGAAACACAGCTGTGGTTCTATCACGCTCCGAATTTTCTTGATCTTGGCTTCACGTCAGGACGGGTCACTACACTCCCTTGCCCTTCGGATGCTCACCGATGACACGGCCGCTAGACGTTCCAACCTTGGATTTCGTGGCTCGAGCTCTGAGCTCGCGTCCACGCCTTGCAGCTGCCCTTCGCAGGCTTACCTGCTCTACGGCATTCTCAACTTGGACAAGCCTGTGAACCCTTCTAGCCATGAGGCTCATGAAGCTTTCATTCCTATATGGCCCCAGCCAATCCCAGCCATGCGGTGCGTGTCAGGTGGTCTCCTGGATTAAGCGGATTATGAACTGCGAGAAGACCGGACACTCGGGCACTTTGGATCCCAAGGCCCGGGTCCAAGGTCCAAGCTGCCTCTCAGGATTGCGATCACTCTCCTCATCTCTTGGTCTGTAGCTTCGAGTCCAGGATGCTTTTGCCATGCTGCAAGGTTTCCGGATGCCTTCTCGTGTGCTTAAACCGAGCAACGCGCCTCGTGAAAGCCCAGCAGTCAGCGGGCAAAGAGTGCGCCTACATGCAGCACTTCCGGTGGTTGAGTTTGATGAAAGCAGAAACGACAGCGACCTCACTAAAAGGCGACCCAAGTCTTGCAGCACAGCAGGGTGGCGTGGTCATGGGCGACTTGCGACACCACTTCTGGGACAGAGGTACATTGCTGTAGTTCGATTCCATTCTGACGTTGGCAGTGCGTCGAAGGTCCAGAAGGCACTGGCCTCTCTCTCTGTGTGTCTGTGTGTGTGTGTGTGAAAGAAGACCTTGAGAGCGTCCTTCCCAGAGCTGCCCACAGTCGCCGATGTGTGAAGGCCTTGGACGAACTGACCGGAGCATGTTTTCAGAGGCGTCCCTTGGGGAGAGCTCTAAGAGCGGTTTTGTAAGGAACAATGTCTGGAATCCACAGACAGTGCGACTCTTTTTGCGGCTCAGGCCTCCGGTAATTTCGGCGGTGAAAAGGCAGCTGCGCGTTCGCTGCCGGCTCGGTTTCACATGCTGTTGTGAACCATGCCGGAATTTGGCGTCCGTGACACTTCCATCTGGCACCCAAGGTACCATCTACGAGGTCTGAGAGCTTCCGAGTGCATGAAGATTCTGGCAAATCACATGACAGCGCTGCGTTTGATAGCAACCTGCAACCATCTGCAACCTGTGGCGGGTACTGTGCTGAGACCGTTGTCTTCGGCTTTGGGGGCCAGTCGTGAAAGCCTTTTTCGCAGGCAAAGCTGCTTGAGTACAATGCGAAAAGAGCCCTGGCTGATGGTTTCTAAAATAAAAGCAGGGGGCTACAGGTGCATTGGTCGCCTGCCTCAACGAAGAGGACCATTGCAATTCTTGATGCGGTGAAGAACGCTTCACTGTCTACCTGCAGCAAAGTGCTATGGCAACCAGGCTAAGCCACAAAGCCGAATCGAGTGAAGAGATTGAGGCTTGGGGCCTGTTCGGTTCAAGGTACGTTATCTGATTCGATACAGGTAGAGCCGGGCACTGTGGAGACATTCTGATGTCAATGCTATGTCTGCGGATGAATGCACAAGAGTGTGCATGCGTGTCTTTACTGTTGCACCCTTTTTCATACACAGAACACCTGCTGGACGACTGTACTGACGTGCGCAGTCGCGTGGCCTGCCCAGGCGATCAGCTTTCTGATGCTTGTTACAGCTGAGGACAGATGGCAGTTGTTTGGGCCTCCTGCGAGGCATTGCGGAGGGGAAGCAGCCAGCAAATGCCTAGCATTGCCCATGCCCTTGTGCTAGGCTGTAAGTGCAAAACCTGTCGCCAGTGCAGGCCGGAACCTACATTAGAACTCTTTGCGTTCATCTCGGCTTCATGTTGGGTGTTGGCGCCCACATGCAGGCAGCGGGGCCAATGCCGCGGGCACTATGTTATGAAGTAGTTGAAGTGTTCCCATCTGGAATCTGGAATGCCTAAATGCCAGGCAGTGCTCACATCAAAGCACTAATTGCCAGGAGCTGCGGCGAAATAGGTCTGGCGTCCTGGACGAACATAAATACATGTCCACGAAGCATGGCTGCATCGAGTCCTGTTCTTTTGTTTTGTCCGTCACGCTGTGTGCACGAGGAGGAGCATGTTTTTTTTTATGGCAGCCAAGGATGCATGACGTCCTAGACGCGCAGTACATGTGACCCTCGCATGTCTTCCGATGTCTCACACCCCGTTTAGTTGAGCATGGAGCATGTGCTTTGAGATGCGTGGATGCGGTTTCAGACAGCAGCTTTGCGGATTCGTTCAGACATCGAGCCTTGGAAGTCACCCAAACTCCTGAAACTGATCGGGCTTTCGGAAGAACCTTATTGCTTGTTTTGCCTTACATTCGGGGTGTGCGTGTGCTGCCGGCTTGTTGCAGACAGAACGAAGGTCTACGGACACCGTACTCACCAGTGTTCTGTCTTAGCGCAAAGGAGATAAGAAAAAGAGGCGATACCTTTCAGCCCAAAACCTTAACCAGAAAAGAGAGGCTGACTTGACACGGGGTCAAGCTTGCTGAATGCAGGCTTTTGGGCTTTTCGGTTGCTGAGGCTGGGAACGTGCAACTTTAACAAAGCCACCGAAACCCTCTGTTTACATGGGAGAGCTGGGCTGTGTGTTTAGACCCGGGGAAGCTGGCTGCTGAGAGATGGACTCTGTAGAGTTGGATTAAGCATGAGACTTGCGGGTCTTGCCTCCTATGGACTTCTGCGGCAGGTAGCACAGGTATTTCAGGCAACGGCAAAGGCCACAGCTGGCCAAGCTGTCACAGCATGGGGTCAGCGAACGCGAAATTGGTGGCTTCTTCTGGCAGAAGTCTTGGGAACTTGGAGACTCGGGGTTATTTGTGACGCCAACCTGGCCAGGTACAACAACATGAGAGACGAAAAGTACTTGCGTCGAATCGTTATGCCCTTGGAGCTCATTCTCACAAACTACCCGCGAATCGTCGTCAAGGACACGCATCCACCACAGTTCCGAGACTGAGCTGCTGTCCAACTCGCTACGCTCGCAAAATTCCGCCTTCGGCAACAGTCTGCCGTGGGTTGATCATCAGCAACTGTCGCAGGACAGCGCCGTCAACGCCATTTGTTACGGGGCGCAGCTCATGATCCCAGGGGTGCTGCGGTTCGAGCAAGAGATTGAGGCAGTCTGTCTGAGACAGTCCACCTTGTGGGAGTTTTGACTCGACCTGCCGTGTTTGCCCCAAGCTTTAGGCTCGTACGGTTTTGGCACGCAGGTCGGCTCGGAAATAGTCATGATGACAACGAAGGGAGAGGCAAGCAGATTTCAATGAGAAGCTGCGTTGTGCTTCGTGCTTATGCAGTCTAATTGAGAAGGGAATGCTGGATTGTAAGCAAGTTCTGCAGTTCGGGAGGAACTAGCGCTTAATGGCAAATCTGGCATTCCTCTCACTGTGTTTCAGGCCATCGCGACTGGGATTGCCCAGATGACTACGGCAGTCATCGCTTCCGTGGACCATGGTGTTGTAGCGGCGACTTGCTCCAATCAAGAGCCCAGCTGAGCCACGGCAGTGTATCCAGCATCGGTTCAGACGGCTGGCGAAACGAGGGCCTGAGCTATGTGTCCCAGGTGATAAAGCGCGTCATCATGGAGCGGGACACATACAACATGCTCGAGACCTGGCAGTGAGAACAAGCTGATCTGTTGGTGTCATGGGTCCATGGGTTCCCGAAGGCGATGGGGCTATGGCCCTCGTTCAAGTGATAAGAAGAAGCTCATCCTGGCGGGAAAGCTGACAGAAAAGGCAAGCAGTGTTGTACTGCTGTGATTCTTGCATACAGCACTGGCAGTTTTCAGCCTTGTTGCCACGGATCTGAAGTTCTGAAACGGGGCCTGCGCAGCCAGGGCAAGCCTAACGAGAACACACCGAAGGCATGGCTCTTGGGCCAAGGAAGGCCTGGAATCGGATGGGAGAGTCTGTTTTATCCGAGTGGTAGGGACATGGATGTAAGTTGTGAGTGCAAGTGAGCTCAGGTGGAGCTACCTTCCGAAGCTCACAAGCGAAGAAGCTCAGGCGGAGATGGACGAAGCGCTAAAAGCCGCAGCCACCTCAGCATTTTGAGCCTGAGAAGTGGCACAAATGCTCAGAAGCATGGTGGGGAGCTGACTTGATTGTATCCTTGACCTTGAGGCAGCCAAAGCTGGCAAGAAAAAGCGCGCAGCAGAGGCCGGTGATGTGCGGAGCCACAATCTAAAGTAAAGGTCGCCTGACTACATTGACTACATGTTATAGCAGAGCTATTGCGCACTCAGGCAGGGGGGTATTTCAGGGTCAGGGAGCTGCGGGCATACATCGCAGGCCATTCAGGTCCGAGAGCAGTCCAGTTTTCATGATGCAACGCGAAGAATGTTTGGACATGGACGGCGGTACTGCTGCAGCGGATGCGACGGCTGCGAAACTTCATAGTTGTTCAGCTGACGCGGCTGTGCGAAGAGATGACCATCTGCGATCGTTTATTCAGGAAGAGTTTGGCAAGCAGGCTGATCTGCTTCAGGAATTGTCTTCTCAAATCAGGTCTGCAGTGGTTCTAGGTGTGGCACAGCGTGGACATGCGCGGGAGTTTTCCTTTGCGCATCGCCCATCTCCCTCGGCTAAGAAAGCCCCCAAAGCTGCTGGCGACGATCCGCGTCTTGATGATTCTGACACACATGCCAAGACTAGCGCTGAAGGCAAGAGGGAGCACCACAAGGATCACAACAAGTTCTACGAGCCAGGTGGGATCTGAAAAAAGACTCTCAGAGTAGACCATCCTCCCATACCTGGCTCCCAGGCTCCCAACCTAAGACCACGCACCAGGAAGTAAAAGGTTTTGAGTTTTACACGCGGTTACACGTGTTGACCGTTGACACGCCTTTTCCTGCCGTGAAGAAGATGCTTGCCTCATGGCCGCGAAGGCTATGGTTATAGTGTCTGCTATACTCCGTCTTCGCCTGCCCTGGAGTTGGAATAAACCCGCAACAATGCACTTCCCTATCTGAAGTCTTCCTTTGCAACTAGAGCTAGAAGTACCATCCCCTTGACAGCTGCACCGCATGGCATCCAACGCCTATCTGGACCAGTTGCCACGGGTGCTGAGGTAGGTGGTACTGAATGAATGGTTCGCCCAGGCATTGAGATTGAGATGATGCATCATCCCCTGCTTGCTGGATCGAGTGAGACCTGTCGCTCGTACACTGGAGATAGGTGAGGTAGGTGAGCCAAGCAACACTAGAATCTTGTAGCACAGTACGGTGGATCTGTTTGTTCTCAACGAGCTCGCACAGGGAGCCTGTATCTGTTGATGTCGCCCCAGACTCGCTTGGTAGTTGCTGATCCTCAAGTCGTCGAGCTTGCATAAGTCCTAGACGGACTCCTGACACCTCGAATCCTAGACCCGGAGCCCTGGACCCCGAACCAGACGCCTCGCATGTTACACTCAACCCATGTAAGCAGCAACACACTGGTCAGACTCTTGATGCGCCACATGCCACGGACCAAAGCATCTGCGTCACAGGCGACCCATTCTGGGACAACGAGTTGCAGACGAGACTGAATGAGCATCAGAGAAAGGCCTTCGCGAAAGCCAAGTCTGCCACGATGAACTCCTCGGGCCACCACGAGTCTAAACCACAACCAGGATTCTTGAGTGGTATTGCGCACACCATTGTCTCTTCTAGCATCTTCCAGGCGGGCATCATGCTTCTCATCCTGATCAACCTCGTACTGCTGGGAGTTGAGGTCGATGTAGCTTCCACCTTGCCACCTGGTGAAGAGCCCCCGTGGTTTCAAACGGTGAACGTGATTATCGTTCTAATTTTCGTCGCCGAGATTGTCTTGAAGTTCGTCGCACACGGATGCAGAGACTTCTTCTGCGGTCCGGATAGGTGGTGGAATAATTTCGATTTGGCAATTATTGCTGCGTCCGTCTTCGAGACTGCAATGGAGCTCATTGCATCTGCAATATCTGTGGGCAGCGTGGATTCAAGCCATTTGCGAATAATGCGCTTCGTGCGCCTGGGTCGAGCTCTTCGTGGAGTCCGTGTCATGCGACTGCTTCGCTTCATTTCCGCTCTTCGGTCGATCGTTTTTGCGATTCTGAGCACCTTGTGGTCGCTGGTTTGGACCCTGGTTCTGCTGATTCTGCTGTTCTACTGCTTCGGTGCCTACGATGCATCTACTGTCAGCTCTCCCATTCGGTGCCCTCTGCCGGCCCTTTTAGCGCTTTGCTTCTGCCTTCATTTCGGCCCAGGTGTCATCCTTGCCCAGCTCGTGTCTGACCACTGTCGATTCTCAGCACTTAGAGCTTATGGGATTCTGGCAGTCCTGTGGAGCTGGGAGACTTGGGACTTGGGACTCTGTCCATCAGCGTTTGATCTCTGTGCAGAAGTATGCCTGTATCTGCGGATATATATATATATATATGTATATATATGTATGTATGTATATATATATATGCATATATATATACACACATTGCACAGACACGCTATACAGATCGGAAAGCATGTTTGTGTGTATGAATACCTGCACGAATCTCACCACGAACATACTTCTGAAGCTACAGATGTATTTATACACATATGCACCCACGTACTTGTGTATTGTTTTCTCCAGCTCTCTCTTGCTCTCTCGCTCGCTCTCTCGCGCTATTCTCCAAGCTTCGAATGGACAGCACAGTTCCCAAGAATAAGAAGCGGAAGCTTGCTTTTTGAATTACTGACCCCAGTCCTCCAGGAGCACCGGGGCCCCTGAACCTGGAAAAGAAGTACCTCCAAGAGCGCGCAACACGGGTCTCAAAAGCTCGATCAGAGCATCGGTTTTCTCGTTAATTTAGCTGTTGAGACCCATGCGGTGCGAGCGCAGTTGCGGCCTGAAATGTGTGTCCACTGCAAGCAGTGCGAAGCGAAGCCAATCCAGCTTCCTCCTGCTGCATGCATGAAACCTCAACCACAGCTAGGGGTGAAAGTGGCTCAGCCTGTACATGTTTGATGTGCCCACCATGTGTCAGGCCTTTCCTCAGCGGGAGCTGAAGACTCTATGCCGTGATTGTTTAAGCTCGGGTTTCGTTCTTGTCAAGGTTTTCCTTTTCTTCGAGACGAGTGCAGTGGCTAAGGTCGATACCAGGATCCGTCAGAGGAGTGCTCACCAGTGCTACGAAGGTTCTGGTCCAGCGTCCCGGAGAGCATGCTCCTTGGTGAAGTCGATTCGTGAGAGTAAAGTCCCTATAGTTCCACCCAGGCAACACTCGGCCCTCTTCTAGCAACTCTTGCAGCTGCATGAAAAGCCCTTGTGTTTCAAGTGTCGCCGGGTGTTTTCCCACCAGAGGCGAAGTTTCTCGGGGGAGAGGACGGGGTCTCGGCTGTTTTTTTTCTTTCTGCCCCTTTTTGTTTTGCTCAGCAAAGGCTCACATTATTCATGTCCATAACTGGTGGCCTGAGCTGGGTTGAAGCGTTGGAGCCGCTGCGAGATGCCACTCCGATTGCGGCGGCCTTCATGCTCTTATACATATTTATAACGATTTTCGCCATTCTCAATGTGGTGACTGGAGCAGATGCCTCAGCGATCTTGTGCAGTTGCTTTTGTTTGGCACGATGCTATTGCCTTCTGACTGATAAGTTTTGCTGCGAAGGTTTTCTGCAACAATGCCATCGAGAGCGCAAAGGCTGATAAGGACCTCCTGTTGAGTGTGCACTGAGCGGTGTGCATCTCTCGGCATCAACAGAGGGCGTGCCATGGCAGGAGATCGCCATCATGAAGCAAATGAGCTGGCATCAAAGCCAGCTGCGCACTCTGAAAGGCACCTTGCCCTGGTTGCGAGTGCGATGCATGTCAATGTCCCATGCCGATCAATAGACCCAGGAGTGTTCCGAGAGATCGACGCAGACACCTCGAACATGATCACCTTTCTCGAGCTGGAGGACGAATTTCAGTCTTCGCATCCTACGGCCATACGGCGTTGACAGAGCCACAGAGCCTTCCAGAGTTGCCCTGATTCCGCAAGTATTCGCGATTTGCGATAAGTTAAGCTTGGTCACTCTTCGCGGCGGGTTGTCGGCCCTGGAACAGCTACATCTCATCTGCTGGTTGTACGTAGTATTCCTTGTAGCAGTTGTTGCCACTCTGTGGACCTGTAGGTTGCATGCGGGTTGTGCTTGAGGTTGGCATGCATGCAGGCATGCATGTTGTATGGTTGTATGTATGTATGTATGTATGTATGTATGTATGTCTGTAATGTAGGGCCCGAATTGCTCCCAAGAGCGGGAGACAATCGTAGGCCCCAGCACTGATAGTGCGTTAAAGCCATAGCTCGCTGCGTGGGCTCTCCAACTTGGCACAGGCGTCGCCGTCTGAGGCGTTCGAGAGCGAGGCTGCAATAGGGCCGGACAAGGCCTCTCGAGCCGGCAACAGTCTTCGTTGCTAAGACGCCACGCCTCGGCCCCTTCTCTCATTAACCGAATGGACAAGCAAGAACAACACGCCATGGCAAGCCTGAAAGTCGCAGCACAACGGGTACTCTGTCTGGGACTATTTTGGCCTATTGGCGTGGAACCTGGAAGTCGGCATCCCCCAAGGGCCGGGCGTTCCCCACCTTCGACAGGAAGTGGGTCCAAAGCAGGACATTACTGTCTTGCGAGAAGATCTCGGGAAGGAGGACTCGTCGGAAGAAGGTGCGTCAACAGACAGTCCAGACCGTGGTCAATGCTTTCGCAAGGCCGAGATGAAGGTAGCACGCTTGGGTCGGGAGAAAGCCGAGAAGGCTGCGAGGTTCGCAGCATACGAGCGGGAAAATCGAGCATCATTCCCCAACGAGGTAAAGCGCCACCTCGCCATGCAGGAAAAGCTAACAGAGGACTACTCGGAGGCATAGCGGCAACTTCAGATCGCCAAAGACATGATGGCGAATGCTGCAGCAGAGTTCAAAAGCACTGGAATAGAAGGGCGGCGTGGACCAGTGGGACAGGATGCTCCAGCGCACAGAGCCGGAGGCCTTACACCAGGAACCGTTGGAACCCGAACTCCTCGAGACGCTACAAGAAAGGAGAGGGCTTGCCAATGGCCCCTCTTCCCAACTTCGGTGCCACAGGCTCCACCTCAGACCCAAGGGCCCAAGGGCCTATCGGGCTTATCTGTACCCCACTTGATACCGCAGTGATGATGGGATTGACAGGCCTGGTGCCGAGCTTCTGGATTGCCTGTCCCTCCTGGATTGCGACAGAGAGAGCCAAACACTTGACCCGACTGAGCTTTGGGATCGCATACGTCAGTCCTTCTCCTGCGTCTGCCTTCCTGTCAAGAGACTTCGACTCACAGCCGTAGTGTGGCGGGACCGGCTCCGTGCTACTGTTGCGCACTGGGATCGCACCGACGGCTTCGGATGGACTTTCCTCCGGGCTGATGAGTGGGTATGCGACGCAGATTTTGCCGATTGGCTCTTTTCGGAACCTGTCGACACGAAGGCTTGTCAGGCCACCTTCAAATGCGGTGTTATCTCGCTCACCCTGTTGGCTACGAGAGCCATCTGCCTGCCGCCACCGACTGCATGGTCCGCTGAGCACGCGCTAGTTTTCATCGGCGCCCCGCCTGATCTTGGCGAGCCTACCAAGGCAAGGGGCCACTTATGTTCCCACACGAAGGGTCCATTGCTCGATTTTCCAGGTGTGACCAGCTCGACTTCTTTGCGGGTCCTTTTCAAGAGTGTGGATTCGTTCTCAGCTTGTGGGGACTCCCATTGCCCACCGAGTGTCCAAGGTGTGAAGACCGTACAGATGTCGAAAAGTCCTTACATGATGTGCCTGTGACCTTGTCCGCTTCGCCTTACGACTTTGGGCAAGCGGTCTTCGGGCCTGCTTGGTTGTTCCCTGCGGCTTCGGGGATGACGTCAGGTTCCTTTCTCGGATCCCGGGCATCAGGCAAAGGAGCTGTGACACGCAGTCCATTCTCTGGCTGGGCCAACACGACTTGCCATCCGCTCTGTTTCACCTTTTTTAAATTGGTTTGCAATCCACAAGGGCCTGCGTCATACCGATTCTGTGCCCGAAGCAGTGAAACAGTGTATGTATGTATGTATGTATGTATGTATGTATGTATGTATGTATGTACGTATTCATGCATGCGCATATGTTTTGGAGGGTCTGGCTTGGTCGTATGGTCTTATTCCATATCCGACATCTGTGCTCGCGGTGCGATAGTCACAACAGAGCGGCGCAGCAGCAGGAATAGTGTGCATGACACATTGGTGGGCATGTGGGACTGGCTTTCGGAGGAGGCGCTATCGCAAAAAAAGCTTTCGAGCTTTATGGAATCGATGGACATCTCCACACAGGACATCAGTGTGCCGTCCTCTTCGACTACTACTACTACTACTACTACTACTACTACTGGACATCTCCACACAGGACATCTGGACACTTTTCATGCCGCCTGGAGCCGCAGCAAGAGTGTGTCAGTGTCCGATACTGGGCTCCCGTGCTTCCTTCCCCTACTGCCCTGTGGAGGTGCTTTGCATGCCTGCTGTGGGATTCTTGTGATTTGACATGCAGTTTGCAAACAACTAAGGGTGTTGGATGCGGACGAAAGCGGTGAAATTTCGCTTGAGGAGTTTGTGGAAGGCTGCATGCAGCTGCAAGGTCCAGCGCAAAGCGTGCAGCTTGCGAGAATGAGATACGAAACCAAGATCACTCGACAGGAAATCAAGAGAGTGTTCGACGAAATCCAAGAGTTGGGAACCATGCTGCAGGGTTGCTGAAAGCAAGCGACTGCAGTGTCCTTTCCTCCCGAAAGGGAGCTCCGATGTGTCACCGTGAAAAAGAGAAACCCTGATCCGCAGTACAGAGATGTCCCCGCTTAAACTCACTCGGAACGGCCATTTCGTGCTGTCTGTGCTGTCCGTGCAGGCAGAAGAGCCTGCTGAGGAGGCGCCGTTAGTCAAGTTCAGATGTTTGTCGTGCAGTGCACGCCTCCTTTGCGTTTCGTTGCCTCACGTGTGGCTCGTCTGTGGTATGCCGAAGGTGGCATTGGTTTCCGATCAGCTTCCCTTCAGCGATTCTATGCTAGCGAGGCAACATGATCTCGGAACAAGCTGACAAACCGACTCTCCGACCCTTCTCGAAGTGATTTGACTTGCCGGGTCGGTGCGGCCGTTGCAAGTCATTTCAAAGCCCCAAGGCCCGAATGCGCAGTGATACACCAGGCCCACCACGAAAGCAACATGCGGCAATCTTGCAGCCTGTCAGGCACCTGTGAAAAAGAAGAAGAAAAAGGACAGCCGATCCATGATGTTGTCACTGTTCCTTTTGGTGGGCTTTCTCGACCCAACTATCCGCGTCATTCACGGTCTTCTTGATTCCTGAAGTGCTTTATAGACCCTGCTAACACATTTGCAGGAAGCCTAGTGCAGGGAGCAAGTCCAAGGCTCAGTGCGGGCGGCACAGCCGACGAGTCCGTTTGCTGCGCTCTGTGTGCGTTGGGCGATGCTTCCCAGAGTCTTTCAGCCGAGGCCTTTGCATCTCTGCTGTGTCACTTTGAGGCCTCCATACGGAGGTACTGGTGTGTGGAGGCCCTCGCAGCGCGCCACAACTGACCTGGTT